AAGGCTTTCTGGAAATCTAAGTACACTGGAGCCTCTGGATCTGCCTTGTACACAAGCTTGTTGACCCCCCTCAAAGAACTCTAGCCGATTAGCAAGGCAGGATTTCCCTTTACAGAAACCAGGTTGACTTTACCCCCAACAAATTATGTTCATGAATGTGTCTGACAGTTTTATTCTTTACTATAGTTTCTACTAATTTGCCCAGCACTTGCATTAGACTTACCGGTTTGTAACTGCCAGGATCACATCTAGACCCCTTCTTAAATATTGGCTTGATGTTAGCTATGTTCCAGTCATTAGGTACAGAAACTGATTTAAAGGATAGGTGAAACCACAGCTCATAGTTCTGCAGTTTCACATTTGAGTTTTCAGAACTCTTGGGTGAATGCCAACTAATCCTGGTGACTTGTTTCTGTTCAGTTTATCAGTTTGTTCCAAAATGTCCTGCAATGGCACCTCAATCTGGGATAATTCCTCAGATTTGTCACCTACAAAGAAAGGCTCAAGTTTAAGAATCTCCTTCACATATTAAGCCATGAGGATGGATGCAAAGAATTCATTTAGTTTCTCTGCAAAAGTCTTCATGTCTTTGAGATCTCTGTCGTCCAGTAGCCCCACTTGCTTAGTCAGCTTCCTGCTTCTGATGTACTGAAAGTTTTGCTATTACTTTTTGAGTTTTTGGCTGGCTGTTCTTCAAATTCCTTTTTGGGCTTCCAAATATCTTTACACTTCATTGTTAGAGTTTATGCTCCTTTCTATGTTCCTCACTCGAATTTAACTTCCACTTTTGAAATGATGCCTTTTTATCTCTCACTCTGCTTTTACGTGATGATTAAGTCAGCGACACTTTTTTGGTTCTCTTACTGTGTTTTTAATTGGCGTATACATTTAAATCGGGCCTGTATTATGGTGTCTTTGAAAAGTTTCTGTGCAGCTTGCAGGAATTGTATTTTTGGTGCTATACCTTTTAATTTCTGGTTAACTAACCACCTCATTTTTGTGTCATTCCCCTTTCTGAAATTAAATGCCATAGTGCTGAGCTGCTGAGGTGTTTGTTGCCATGGGGATGTTAAATTTTATTACAATATGGTCACTATTTACAAGCAGTCCATTGCTAAATCAAGAATAGCCTATCTGTTTGTGGGTTCCAGAACCAGCTGTTCAAGAAGCAGTAATTTAAAATGTCAAACTTTATTTCTACATCCTGTCCGGAGGTGACGTGCACTCAGTGAATATGGGGATAGCTGAAACCCCTCACTATTTGAGGTTTTTATTTTGATAGCCTCTCATCTCCCTGAGCATTTCATAGTCATTACCCTGTCCTGGTCAGGTGGTCGATAATAGATCCCTGCTGCTATGGAGCATGGAATTGCAACCCATAGAGATTCTCTGGAACATTTTGGTTCATTTAAGATTTTTACTTCATTTGATTCTACACTTGTTTTCACTTGTAGTGCCCTTCCCCCACCAGCATGACCTCTTCTGTCCTTCCGATAGATTTTTTTTTTTTTGTTACCCTGGTATGACTGTGTCCCATTGATTGTCCTTATTCCACCAAATTTCTATGATGTCTATTATATCAATATCCTCCTTAGATATGAGGCACTTTCGTTCACCCATCTTATTATTTAGACTTCTAGGCTGTGTCTAGACTGCATCCCTTTTCCGTAAAAGGGATGCAAATTAGACACATCGCAATTGCAAATGAAGCGGGGATTTAAATCCCCCCCGCTTCATTTGCATAAACATGGCTGCCGCTTTTTTCCCGCTCGGGGCTTTGCTGGAAAAAA